ATCCGCATAGGGTAGGCCACAGGGTAGGCCACAGGGTAGGCCACAGGGTAGGCCATAGGGTAGGCCACAGGGTAGGCCATGGCCTAGGCCACGTTTTGTCCACACCCCGGTCTGCAGAGTCTGCACGGTTTGCAGTCTGCCTTTTAACGTGGCCGTATTACTGCTGATAAGTTGCGATTTATAATCTCATTGTTTATGAGCTTTCAATCAAGGTTTTTGTCATATCGTGATCTTGTTTTGTTATACTTGTGTTACATTATATTAAGTTACGTCATGGTTGTGTTACGTGTACATGGATGCGCCTGCGCAGAAAAGAACAGGAATAAAAAGATCTTGGAATGTTCATGTTCATTGCGGGTTTGTTTATAATTTCGTCCTTGAATTTCCTAAGATACAACAGTTTTCCCCTCCTTTTTTTGTTGTTTTTTCTTCAGAATGCGAGGAAAACTGCTGAAATGTCGAAAAATGTCCATATCTCGTCTTCTTTGGAGCGACCTGATTGAAACTTCATGGAGAAATCCAGCGTCACGCCATCGACAACGTACTTTTTTATGTCAAATGACCGGTGTTACGGATAGTTTCGTGTAGATCAGCCAGCTTTAACATGTTTCAAATGACAGACAGGTATAACAGTGTATCTTCAGAGGATTTCAGATTGCTCAAATTCCCATGAAAGAAGGTACAGTACTCGGAATCTGGATGATATGCACACAATTTAAGGTACATGTTTGTAGTTACGTCGAGTAGTCCTCCATGAAGGTTGATCACATTTTTGTAAATATTAAAGCTAGAGGCGAGATTTCTCTTCGGGATATTGCTCATAAGATAACATTCTTTCAAAGTCTTGTACTTTTCATTTGTCTGAAAGGGTTGTTGTTGAGAACATTAGATGGAAACACTGCAATTTATGCAATGTCTGATTTTTGAGCTTTATTCGCGAAGCCATTATGAAAAGTGGAGGCCGGCCCGCAGAGATGGTTACATATTTAAAAACTAGAATATTATGACGAACTAAGTGCGTAGTTTCAGTTCCAGAATCGGTGTACTTTTGGAGAAATTTAGAAAAACGTTTTCCCTGTTTTACCCTACAGCAAATGACCGAAACTGTAGCGAGATAAATAACCTATTGATGTGCTTACATTCACTCCCAGGGAAAATTTAATGTATGAAAGTCAAGATAAATGATGTCATTATGTATGCTAGAAGTACCAATCTGTAATGTTGTAATTAGCTCGAGATAGAGAGGTAACCATTTTACACTATTTTTACGATGGTTTTGTATGAAAATGAGGCCCGAGGCCTCAAACAAGCAGCCGTTGTTACCTTGGCAACAAGAGTGCTGCAACCTTTAAAAAGGGCATTTTTGTGCATCGCCATTAAGTGCCTAACTGCATGCAAAATTTGAAGGGGGTTGAAAATTTTCATTTCCCAAGATGTTTGATTCTTAGACTCGTTCTTAAAGATCAAGTGACGCACCTAATGAAAATTTTCAACCCCCCTTCAAATGATGTCATTATGTATGCTAGAAGTACCAATTTGCAATGTTGTATTTAGCTCGAGATAGAGAAATAAACATTTTACACTTTTTTTACGCTTTTGTATGAAAATGAGGCCCCAGGCCTCAAACAGGCAGCCGTTGTTACCATGGCAGCAAGAGTGCTGCAACCTTTAAAAAGGGCATTTTTGTGCATCCTCCCCCCCCCCGAGTGCCTAACTGCATGCAAAATTTGGAGGGGGGTTGAAAATTTTCATTTCCCAAGATGTTTGATTCTTACAGACACGTTCTTAAAGATCAAGTGACGCACTTAACCGAACACTGGAAGCACAGAGTAACAACTACGTACCTGGAAGTGACTTCAACGAAAAAAAAACCTACTCTTGTTTGCTGATTCCACTGTCGATGAAGCTTGAAAAGTTGTAATTAAAGTAGCAATAGAAATATGTATTCCTCTGTTCCTTCTCTTTAAGAAGTTGAGGGAGGAGAGGGGTCTTTGTTTGACATTGTGGCCTACGGAGTGGGGGCTTATTCGAGGGAATACAGCATATCTAGCCCTCATCTTTCGAGGTTCCACTCTTGTTTCGTTTCATAAAATAACTCCCTCGTCCTCTCAAGGGCGGTTAGTTGCTCAAGTTGAAAATTCAGAAAACATTTTGTAGAGTACAGCTTCCCTCCAGCCCACCATGGGTAGGGGATTTGTGTGCATTAGCAGGGAGGGGAGGTCTGAGTGGGTTTCTTGAAACATATATTGCATTTTTTTTGTTAGCTAGCATTTAAATAGTCGCAATACCAGTGCTTCACACAATAAAAAGCACAAAGAATTCGATTTATTAGAATTGAAGAGCAAGTTCCTGAGACAAGTACTTAGGCTGTGTATCCCTTTCCAAAATACATCAGGTACACTTCTTAAAACAACCACATAAATTAACTAAGCTAGTTTATTTGCTAGTTTCTCAAGACAATTACAGTGAAATATTTTGTCAATTTGAAACCTGTTGAAAGGATGGCCTTTTAATTGCAATCATCATCATCATCATCACAACACTACAAAACAGTTCATTTTTTCATAAAACTCCAGTTTCTCTACAGCAAGGCCTCAATGAAAACAACAACAAAAATAATAATTAGGTAATGTGGTTGAGAATCAAAGAACAGATTTTAACCACATACTGCACAGTGCTAGTTAGAAATTAAAGTTGCATTACATGCCTAAGCTTTCAAGGTACTCTGCAATTACTGCAACACCTTTGTTTAGGTTGCCCTGCTGCCCTCCTTCTGGACAATGGCCAATGACAACTGCTGTCTTGGAACACTGCAAGGAGATAGCTCCCTGCTCTTTTTTCTTTCCCAGAACTAACTTTTCGTCTTCCACACGCAAGAATTGGTACTTCGTTCCCTCTGCAAAAATACCACTTGTCATAAATGGTGAAAAATCCTTGCTCTTGAAACAGCCTGCTATTTTGGCACATTCACTTGTATCTAACTGGAGACAAAAAAGAAAAGATTATTAAACCAGCAAAATGGTGATTTATAACCTTTTAGAGGGCCCACTCACACTTAAAATGATCCTTCTCTACTACCATAACGATTTAGAGAGCTTATTACTCAAGGCTTGAATACAACTGTTGACAAAAGGTCACATGCATACATACATGCTTATACATATACAGTCTATGATCATATTTATCTTGCAAATACACATGGAGCTATCAGTGAGAAACATTAACAAACTAGCTTTGAATGAATGACAATTGAATAAATAAATGTAATACGTACAATAATAAGAAAATATTTTGCTTGAGTTATACAATTTCTCAACAAAGTTTTAGTTCAGAACTTGTAAGTTATATTTTTCTAAGCTGTGTACAATCAACTAAACATGTTAATAGTAATAATAATAATAGTTAAATGATTGTAATGTGCAATTTTAAAATGTTAATACAATCAAATGTACATTATACAGGGCTCAAAGTTAACTTTTTAGTCTATTTGCAAAGTTTTGCCAGTAAGATTTTTTTCCACAAGCAAACTGGCACTGGCACTCTTGAACAAGGAATACATTTGAGAGATGTCATGAAAAAGATAGCTCCAAAACAATGAGGAAATATGACAACCCACGAATGTACAGACAGGGAACAGAGCCTTGGTGTAACACTAGCCAGTGACTATCAAAAAGCTCAGCCAGCGACTATTTTATTTTTGTCAGATGTTGTCCGTACATTTATTCTTGCATTCCAACAATGTAGAAATTGTCTGTGAAATGTTCAAGAATGAAGAAATATAAAAAAGCCAAAAAGATATGCAAGAGAAGAATTAAGAAAAAGGAAAATGACGTGTTCATTGTAAAGGAAAAAGGTCAGAGTTTCTAAGTGTACCCAACATACTGTAGACACTGGTTAAATTTGCTGTGTTTGAATTTTAGCATTATCTCATCAAGCTCCATATAAGAATCTTCAGTCTCTAGAATATTAAGAGCTCTTTTGCTTTCTTTAAAAGAATTTCTTTGGCAAATTTTTAAATTTATGAGGTATCTCATTCTAGAGTTTGAACCAACACTGGAAAAAGCTTTTCTTTGCATAGCAAGCGTAGAGTACTTAACACTGAAGAGTCGTGACGTTGATGAGCAAGTGGTATATATGGAAGTTTAAAGCTCTCATGAAAAGTTTTGTGATGCTGTTAAGGTGCACTGTTGTTATCAAAGTCAAGCATTAATTCATATTCAGCTTCTTAATAAAAGAAGGTGAAGAGTAGAATTTGTGCTTTTACAAATGGGGCATTACATGCTCTTTCCTATCAACAAAGTAGACTAAACATAATACACACTTTTGGAGAATAACAATTTTTTAAAGAAAGTCCTTAGATGCATTACCCCAAGCAACAAGTCCACTATTTAAATGCAGGTAAAATTGAGGATTTATAAAGATTTAAATGCAGGTAAAATTAAGGATTTATAAAGATTTAAATGCAGGTAAAATTAACGATTTATGAATATTTGAGTACAGATGATGGAGCAAAGAATCTCAGCTCAGCCAGCATTCCTACACCGCACAGTAAGAGAAAATTTTTGAAATCCCCTTGTCCATCAGACAACCAGCATAGAGAATTTGGTTGTCCAAGAGCCCAAAAGTGCTTGTCAAAAAAAGATTGGTTCAAATTGTATTTAGAAATAAAATCAATTCAACATGTGGCTTGTGGTGTATTTTAATTTATAGCAACAACATTAATTGTGAACTATGTCCAAGGGTAAAAATGTTATTAAAGATAAAAAACCGAACACTTTTCACTTTATTGCAAGTAACTCACCTTAACCCTGCAGATACGATGACTTCATTGACTCAAAAACATTCAGGTTTTTTTTTTTCTTTTTAATGACATTTTAAGCCTTGTAAGTAATTTTTTCTGCTAAACCTAAACTGGATGTCATGCACATCAAACTTGTGGGGCACAAAATAGCTTGCTTAAATAGTAACTCCTTTTATTTAAATCAAAATTCACTCGTACATTAAATGTTTTTCACCAGCAATAAGTCTGACTGTTCAGTTGAGATTAAGGACGATTCAACAATGCCATCACTTGATTTCTTCCTCATCAACAACAAGTTGTGGCAATGGGGGCAGCGACATGTTGTCATCCTCCTGCTGTTCTTGCTCCGCTTCTCTTCCATCATTAGTGTCACTATGGATGGCAGAAGAAGAACTAACATTGGGTTTTGACAAAATGTGACCCTTTGTTTTCGCCTTTAAGAGCCACTGATCAATTGCACAATCTGGGTCAAAGTCTTTTCGCACCGTGCCTTGGTCTTTAACTCAGGAGGTTGCTCAATGTCCCCTGCTGCATTCTTGTTTTCAGCACTATTTTCAGCCGATTCATTGCTGAGAATGACCTTCACACATGGCAGTTGTTGGTGAGATAGTGATCATGAGCTTAACTAAGACAAGAACATTATTTAGGTCATTTTGGTGACGTGCAAGCAGGGATACACATCACTTGGTTTCAACGCTCCCTGTGTAGCCAAGAAGCTCTTCGATTCCTGTAACTCTTTAACCGCTCCATCTTCTTCTTCTTGGGAAAGAAGTCGGGCAAAATAATCAACTAGCCTTTGAACTTCCTTGTTACCATAAAGCTCTTTCTCCTCTTTGAACAGGGAAATTTCTGTAATCAAAAACAGTGAAATCAAAGAGGTGGGCTGCTGAGGCTGGCAAACCTCTTTTCAAGATAGTTAATGGAATCAGTCAAAAATCTTGAAAAAAGCTCACCGAGATCTGAACTTTGCTATTATCTTTCAGTGAAACTTCTTGGCTGTTGTTTTTTCCATTCAGTAGGATCTTTTTCTCCTCATCATAGCTGCTTTTAAACTTAGTTTGGAACTTCGACAACTCTGTAGGAGGCTTGTCATTCTTTAACAGCTCCAAGTTTGCGATGGCTGTGTCAAGTTTTTTTGCCACATCGGTGATGAAAAGACCAGCTCTTTGGAAACTTTCACTCAGTTCCTTTAAAACTGCAGTGACATCTAACATGAAGTAAAGGAATCTTGCAAATTTCCCTGTTGTGATTTGCTTTAATATCCCCTTGGCTTTGGCTCCATCTTCACCTTTCCCACTGCTCACCTGCTCCAAGTGTGCAACTGTCACAGCAAGATTTTTTTCCATAGCAGCGAGCCCTAATGTCTGCTAGACAGCCACCATGTCTTCTTGATGTTACTGCTGAAATGAGCTGGATTTTCATCAAGGATTTCTGATACTGCATCGACTTCTCTTCTTTTCTTAGGTGAATAACAGTTAAGCTTGAACACTTGCCTAATAGTTTTATGAAAATTTTCAAGGTAGGGAATGGTTTTAACTGCATTTAAAACAGCAAGCTCAAGGTTATGAGCAACACGGTGTAAAATAACAACTGGTTGTGGAACTTTTTCTTGTATTTGTACAGCAATGCCTGACTTCTTGCCCATTATCACGCTAGCTCCATCAAAATTGCACCCAACTAACTTCTTCAGCATTTCTTCATCAATGTCAATTTTTTCCAAGCTGGTTGTAATTGTGTTACAAACTCCATCTGCAGTTGCAGATTCAAGGGGAATAATGTCAAGAAATTTTGTCCATGGCCGTCCTTGTTTGTCCACATAACGTACAAACACTGCCTCTTGTTCAATAATTCCTGCATCTGTTGAGCTGTCTGACAGTAACGATAGAAACCTTGTCTCTCTCACTTCTCTCTTGGTTTTTTCTTTCTCAACACCAGCAATGCTGGCAATGAATTGGCTACACATCTTCTCATTACGGTACATACTCTCCATCTTTACACCATTCTTTTCTTGGAGGTCACAGAGGCTGCCAAATTTTCTAAAAGCTAGTTCTTCCTTTCCCACAAAATAAGCAGTGTTCGTGAGGACTCTGAGGTGGTGCCTGTTCTTTTCATCCAGGGAAGTTATCATCTGTTGTACAGCTTTCTTAATAGGAGGTTGGTATTCAAGTTGGTTATTCTTTTGCCAGGCCTTAGCACAAGCCAAATGACACTTAGGTGTTATAGCTCACCAATGGGTCGCATCTGTAATCCGTCTGAACCACATCCTGAAACGTGGGGGCTGCTTTTATCAGCTAAAGCTTCATTTTCTCTGCAGTAGAAGCAGTACATTTTCCCTCCTGATTCATCTGCTGCAATGCCAAGCCATGGAAATTCTGACTTCCATTGCTCTTGAAAGTTGCATTTTCTCCTCTTTTCATAATCCTGCTTTGCAAGGATCTTGCCTTTCTTCTTGCAATAATTACTCAAAGACTCAGTTGATTCTTTGCTTGATTATTTGGTTGACTGGTTTGATAGGAAAGCAAACAGTGTGGACTGACGCTTTTGAGATTCCGCCACTATTCACTAGAATTTAGAGCCTGGGGATTGGTCTTAACAGGCCTGGTTACTAAGGCCAGATGAGGTCACCGAAACAAATGAATGGCTGTAGAATAGCAAAATTTACAGGAATCTTTACACTTATTTTGTCAAGTTAAAGGTTTGCTGTCATTACCGTTAGATATATTTCAATTCTACTGCAACTTGACCTCAATTTTCCTCTGTTTCTGTAGTTGTTTAGACCTCAGAAATGTGCTTGTCCCACAGACAAGTCATGTTTAAGACTTACAGGTCCGAACTAAATTTCTACTTGTTCCGGACAATATCGGACATGAGTTTTGGCGCACCCTGTACTGTCTTACTTATTTTAGTGATAGCACAGTAAAAGTGGTTTTTCCAAGAAAGATTTTCATCAATTAAAAAACCTAAATACTTGATGTAACTCTTATGTTCTAAACTGACTCTTCTACTTTTCCCCCTATCAAGTACTATATGTATTTGTCAAAGAAACCAGATTTTCTTTTGAAGAGGGCCAAAAATTACAAGATTTGATTTTTTTTGTTATCAAAGTCGTAGCTTAAAGTACTACAAAAACAGTATATGCAATTTGAACTTACATGTGTAAATGGGGGTTTTAACTATCATTTCACTGCATTATTTGGAAGGGCATTTACCTAGAAATTCCAGCTGTTCATCACTAGAGTTGCTGGAGGCAAACATGGACTGATTCCAGTTAACAGTTAAAGGTTAGACTTGTCCACATTTGAGTTACCAGGGGCAAAATGAAGGTTAATGGCAGAGAATTTTGATTCTGGCTCCAGTTAACAAGAGCAAACTGCTTTTAATGGAGTCAATGTACTACTAGTTGTTGAATTGTGGTCAATTTCTACTCTTGGACTGTCTACATCTTCTAAGAAGTGAAATCCTCATTTAAGCTGAAATCTTGCAGTTGGATCATTTAGATACTTTTTGTGATACACTTGTATGCGTACAAAGAAGCTAACATAAGCTAGTGTTACCTTGAAGGCATTAGCATGACCATCTGAGGTCCATTTAGCTCCCCCATCAACGCCAATGATGCAGGCTTTATCTGCATGAGCAGTACCACTGGCGTCTTTAGTCTGTGCTATTAGGTTGTCAAGATAACTATCCCAAGACATTCTGAGGAAACCCTGAAAAACACAAAATAATATCACAGTAAGAATATCACAGAGAACCTTTTCCAAACTCTCAGCCTTCATTTCCAAGTATTCCACTGCACTAAAATATCACAGAAAGTTTGGAGTGTCTTAGGGATGGGAATAAACCATAGGCCACGCTCGGTTTTGCAAGCATTCCATAGCGAGAAAAACATTTATTGCTTGATTTTTCTGATTGATCAAGATTCAATGTAGGGTCCAGATAGACACCTGGGTACTTGTAATTTGTATAGTTGTGTTGATGTGAGATCCATTTACAGAGAGGTTTAGTTCTTTGCCATCAAAACCACTTAATCTTTTTGCTGTTCCGAATAGCATTACTTCAGTTTTTCCTTTTTAAGATTAATGATAAGTTTGTTATCTCTAAACCAGGAGGCGAGGTTATTGATGTCTTCGCTGAGGTTGCGTTGGATAATATCCAAGTCTTTCGAGGATGTGAAAATTACTGAGTCATCTGTGTAGGTGATAATATTAGAATAACAGAGCAGCTTGTGGACATATCATCAAAATGAATTAAAAACAATCATGGCCCGAGAATGCTTCCTTGGGTAACATCTGTGAAAACAGGGTTAGGTTCTGACAACACTCCCTCAAATTGAGGAATAGAGAAAGACTACTGACAAATCTGCCTTGATTACCACCAAACCACCAATATGAAATCAAAAAAGCTGGTGTCTGGGTAGTTTCAACTGAGTCAGCTAGAAACATATAGGAGCAATGTTTAACAATGTTACGAATCATGAGCATCAAAGTTCAAAATATCTGTAAAGTAGCTTTTTCTTTCACATACGCAATTTATCTAAAATCAGGAAAATTAATGTCTTACTCAGAAAGATACAGAAACCTTAGTTCATGCATTTATAACATCTAAGTTGGACAATAGCAATTCACTGTTGGCTGAATTGCCACAAAATTTATGAGATAAGGTTCATTGAGTACAAAATGCTGCTGTGCATCTCATCTCCTGCACTCGAAAATATGACCGAATTACCCGAGTCCTTAAAGAGCTTCACTGACTACCTGTAAAGCAACATATAATCTTTAAAATATTACTATTTACTTATAAGGCCCTGAAAGCTTTAGCACCTCAATACATTTCTTATTTTTTAATACAACATAAACCACCTAGAGCTTTGCGTTCATCCGATAAGAAACTGCTACAAGTTCCTCGTTTCAAGCTTAAGACTTACAGAGGCAGATCATTTAGTTATATAGCTCCATATCTGTGGAATCAGCTTCTGGACGGCATATGGCAGGCACCATTGCTTGTGACATATAAATCCAACCTGAAGACTCATTTATTTGATCAAGTCTTTAAATATTCATTCAGTTTTTGCTTAATGTACTTTTAGTAAGTTGTTTTACTCATCTTTATCTTATTTTTTAACCATATAGCTGTACAGCGCTCTGAACTCTAGCATGGGTCCTAAGTCTTGTATTAGTATTATTATTGCTTACTGCTAAACTATCTTCTGCCTACTTATGTCCTAAGATACCCCTACTTCTGAAGTTAATGAAATCCCTGCTGTAGCAGTGTGTTATAGCTAAGAAAATGGCCTGCTGGTTGAGGAAGCCATTTAGCCGGCTGTGTCCAGTCGTTTGCAACATGTTGTCCGCAAGGCTACCAAGCTTTGAGTTTGCAAAATGGCAATACGAAACAAAGAGAGACACTACAGATCAGTTAAGACCAGTGGACTCAAAGCAACACTTCATTTCACCTTTAATAATTCTGCATCTTAGATGTAGTTCTGTATCTATTTTCACCTTTTTGTTTTCAAACGGCAAGGTATTTTTTTTCCACTTAAACTGTAAAAAAATCAAGACCCGCCTGTCAAGCAAATGCCAGCAAAAATTCAGCCTGCAACTGCCTCTTTCTCAGCCAGCAAATTTCACTGGCTGCCAGCCCTCAACAACAACCCTGTGTAGTAGTTAACACGTGTTAAGGGGAGGCTATTTATCCTTGTAAAGGATTTTCTAAAATCTCTGCTTTGTGCTTAAGAGTGAATTACATGTAAAAATAAACAATATCCATATACAACTAATGAACATGATCAAACCCTAGTCAACATATATCTAACCAAGACTTGTACTACTACTATTTGTCAGCTAGCCAATACCCCAAATTGTTTCATTTGCAATTTCAAAGATCACTTACCCTTTTTAATTCCATTTTTTTAAAATAACAAATGTATATCCACTCCAAACTTGCACTATTGTGAAAAGTGCATCTCTTAGCAAGCATTCCTCCAATTTCACTTTCAAGTTGTTGCATCACAATTAGGTTTTGACACCTTTCTCACAAACACAAGAATGTACACATTTATAATTCATTCAACCAGTGTCACACTTGACTTTCACCTCACTCTTGTACAAGTGTTGTCATAAAATGGCTGACATAATCTGCCTAGACATATAGAACATGCCTTGCAATTACTTCCGTGGAGATTCACAAAAAAGATACTGTAAAATATTTTAAAAACCTCCTAAGTATCTTCAAAGAATTCAAGTCTATTTAAACTAAAACTATACCCCGTAAATCAGTTTACATACATCAAAAATAAAAATCAAAATAATCATAAATATCAATTGTCACAAATTACTGGTATGTTATTTGGTTGATCAAATTTGTTGGCATAGAAAGCCACTTGGGATGATCACAACGATTTGCTCTCCATTCAGTTTCGACTAGCCCTTTGAATTCTTCAGAAGACAAAGACAACTCTTTGGCAATACAAAGGTGTTTTGAGAAACTCTCTATATGTTGAATCCAGTATCAAAGCATGTTCATGTAATTTCATCTCTTTGTCTGAGGGTCTCACAATGAGCCTAAGAAATGCTTTGTTTCCCCTGGGCAGAGCTGAAATACATGCTATACAATTAAAGTGAGAGCAGAGATTCAGGGAAATGTTCAATTAACTTTAAGATTTGGCATTCAAATATTTATCATCGAATCGACTTTCTTTATAAAGAATCAAAACGATTTTGTCAAAAGTCAAGGTATTTGTGATTTTACAGAAAATGGGGGCATACTTGTACTCAAGTGTAGCCACAAACTACATAAGGAAATCAATAAAATGATTTATCTTTAGTACAATTGGTTTTTCAAGGCAACTGGGGTTGAAAAAAATCAACGATTCTAGACTTTCCGAATCATAAGTGTACAGAGGTCCTTCGGTGCGTGATCAATTGTGAAACATCTGAAAATTATAGCCGTCTTCTCATACTTGACTACAAATACTCTTTTATGAAATACAGTGTGCAAGGACATAAAATGCTACTAAACAAATACTTCAAGATGTTTACCATGTACTCCGTCCGTACTGCTCGTAGAAAAATGAAAAACGTATGACAACACGCACGGCTCTTCTCGGATTAACTCGACAATCGCTTACTCGACATTTCTGTATTCGAAGGAGAGTTACTGGAGAACGGCATTTGAATTACCAATTATGCGAGGGGTTCTTTCCCCAGAAGGTTTCCATTGTCACCGAAATAACACAGGAATCACTTTGTATTCAAACTTGAAGTCAAATTACGTTTATTTTATGAAACACTTTGCCAATATAAAACTGTAGTTGCGAGTAGCACCGAGTAATCGGTCACCAGGAAATTCGACGGGCTATCATCGTTATTCGTTTGAAATGAAACGATTCGTAATATCTCTTGAACCGAAAGACAAGACTTTCAATGGAAGAAAATATCAATTACTGTTTTAGACGAAAACAGTGTCATGATCTAGAGGTATTCGGGGTGGTACAGGAAAAGACCGATCAAAGAATGCGACCTATCGAGGGTCGAAGCACATGCGGAAATTAACAGACGAACTTTACGGGTGAAGCGAAACTTTAAAGGCCAGAAAGTCGAACAAAATAGGCCCACTAACACTCCAATTTCTTACAAAGGCAAGGGGAACAGATCTAGGGAATAAATATTCAATACCAACTCCGAAATGAAGAGAATTTATGTCGAGAAAAAACTTCAATTGTAAATGCATATTACGAAATCGTAACACTTGGCGCGCAGAAGGCTGGTTTTTTAATTCATGGCAACAATTCATGCGCTCAAACGAACAAAAATACAAAATGAATACTACAATGTGCAAAATTAACATAAAATAGCGACAACTTACCGGTTATTTCGGAGATAAAGTCAAAATTCCTTCGCAGTCAAAATGCTACGCCACCACACCAGCGAGCAATGTAAAAGACGATCGAGGTGCGGCCCCTTGAGCCCGCAATAACAAGTTTCCTTTTTAGGCCCCAAGCTCAAGGTTGAGTTTCCGGGGGGAAATTGCGTACAAAGGAATTTCCGCATCATTTGAAAAACCTCCTTCCTTCGAAAATTTTTTCTAATATTTGTGGCGAAAATATTCTCCTCTCATTTTAAAGATATTTGAAATTTTTTTCTTCGTGGTATTTCTCACGATTAGAACAAAATCAAAGCAAAAGTTTATTTGACAGGAGAGGGGTTAGTAAGAATTGCACACCGGACCCAGGCTCTCACTCGTCCAAGCTGTCCTGTTGGTAATCATTAATCAAGCAGTGCGGGCAAAAAAAAATTGACCAAACATACATTAATGGTAATATAATTAAAATGATAGTTATGATGATCAATGGAATTTTTTCCTCAGGCATGTTAAGTCTATGATCCTCTCTCAAGATGGGAAAAGTACTGTAGTTTCAGGAGAAACATAAACCAAAATCGAAAAATCAAATTTCATTTATAGGAGTGTGAGAAGTGTGTACGAAACTGAAAGAAAGAGGAAATTTACTAATTTCATATTTAAATCAGTAAACAAATTCGATCCACTAACAATTTGGACATTTCGTCAAAATGTAACATATTTATTAGTTCTCAGTATGGAGTTACCGATTTAGCACAATCTCAAAGCCTCATTGGATGACCTTATCACATTTTGATATTACAATTCATAAATTAAATGGATAAATTCTTAAATGTGATTCTACCCGTATATGCCTCTGACTTTTAAAAGGGAGTATTTGTTCTTACAAGAAGGAGATGTGTTGAAATGCTTAAAAAATATGCCAGTTTTTATCGCTTTCCGTGTGCTCCTTTATCCTAGTAGAGAAGTGGCGACTAGTTTCGCCAAGGTAACGGGAATTACATCCCGCACAAGAAAATTGATAAACTACCATGGATTTTAGAGCATCAGGAGTACGATCTTTAACACTGAACATGTTTTTAATTTTAAAAGAGGTGAAAACTAGTTTGATATTTAGGTCCGATTTACAAAAGCGCTTAGTGAGTTGTCTGAGTTTGAGGTTCGCTATTTTAGAATAATAGCCGACAAAAGGGAGTTTAAAGTAACGTGTATTATTGTCATCAATGTTCCGGCTATTTTGAGAGGAGGACCCGTCAAGATACCGCTTGAAAGTTCTTTCAATAATATGCGAAGGAAAATAATTACGTTTTAAAGTGTCGGAAAGTTTCTCAAGATCGTTTTGAAGGCCGGAAGAGGTGTTGTTGATTTTGTTGATACGGTCAATAAGAGTTCGGATAGGCCAATTTTGTAGCATGATGGAATATTTTTAAGCATTTCAACACATCTCCTTCTTGTAAGAACAAATACTCCCTTTCTTGCTTTAGTATTCTGGAGTCTGCTAACAACTCAACTGATTCAAAACTCAAAGAAGCTTTTTATATAAATAAGATCAAACCTGAACTTAACAAACAATTACAGCATTATAACACTTTTCTAGCGTTTTAGTTCACACCTTTGATGTTTGGTGTCACGTTGTAATTAGTACCCGCTTTTGTATTACATCATACTGTAAATATTTTATTCATCTACTTGTCTGTTATATAATTACTCACGTTCTGTTACTCATTGATTGAAGATGGCATAAGCATGCCGAAACATGTCTCTCAAAAAAGTTGTCTATTTCTTACAATATTTATCATACTTGCTACTACTACGACCTTATGGAAATATC